CCGCCTACTCCCCTGAGTAGCAAAGGTACAGCACCGTATACTGCCTGCTTCGTTCCTTGGTCGTGCACTCTTACATGACCCGAAGTCCTTCACTTTCAGCTATCTTGATGAGAAGCTCGTTGACATCGGTCTTACGAAGTTCCTCGGCCTCTGCCCTTCAGCCTTGTCTCGGTACTTGGAGTTTGCCTCTACATGCTCCACCTCCTCGGCTCCTTTCACGACCAAGCGCTCTCCCTTCATGAGAGCAAAGGATCAATGACTTTCACGGAAGTCCTGCCTCTGTGGTACCATGATGTTGCTATGCTCATGGCCCTACTATCCGTCGCCCCGCATTTGTATCCCTTTTCTTCACAATCAGTAAATATGTCTCCGTGGCACTCCTCTGAGTCCACCTCCATTCTAATTGATGCTTGATTTTGGGCAGCTAAGTCCCTCTGGACTCGTCGTCACTTCTTCGCCCCTTTCGACCCCCTGCTTCAACACCTCTGTGTTATCCAAGCAGCTCCCTTTGGTCGATGGAAAGACAGACTGCAACTCCTATGCATGGCCTCTGCCATCGCATTATAGGATTTGCACCGATTCTGTTCTCCTTAGCTTCCTTGGTAACAACGTTCGCTTACTCGACCTTATCCTCTGATTTATCGGGCTCCCTTAAGCGAATACGGGCTCTAGAGCAGTCTAACTATCCAACTGCTTCGATCATACCTCTGTATGATCAAGTCCCTCCCATGGGACTCACTGGTACTTGCATTCGAACTTTTCCCTTGGTGGAACACGACCCCCATATGCTGATGACCAAGGCTTTCATCCGATGCAAAATTCGATGCACGCACGGAAGACCCGCCTTTGCGGTACCATGGCCTTCACTCCTTAAATCCATAGCCCTTCTTACCATCGTGTTGTTCAACGAAGTGGAGCTTCCAGTAGCTCCCGATCATACCTCCATATGATCTAGTCCCTCACGGGACTTTGTCGTGTGTATCGCATTGCCACGAACTGTTCCACCACGTCGCCTCCTGGTGACATCTCTGTTGCATTCTGATCCTTGTGGGATGAACTCGAATTGTGAACCCTTCATGTGTGGCCTCTACCAATACATCGTAGGGTCTCTTCCACCTTCAATTTTGTTCGCTCCTTTGGCAATCCACCTTCATCCACCCACTCTTGGGTCACACCTAGATGAAGCACCGCTCTAGGACAGTCCGTCGCCTAGTAGCTCCCGAAGTCCCTTGACTTCGTTGCAATTAGTGCCCCATTGTCTGGATCCTGGGCCTCTGCCCCTACCAGCATAATCTCCGCTGTGCACTGCTTCCTGCCTAGTAACATGATTTGTAACACGATGACATATTCTTCAAGAGTACCCGCCTCTGCGTCCTCTTGCCCCGTGCTAAGGCCTTCTGAACCTAACTTCGCCTCCACAAATTGAGTCGCCTTAGTTCCTCCATCAAATGCTTTTCCGAGATAAGGTGCATGTGCCCAGAAGCTCCCTTCGTCTTTGGTACCATGCAAGATGAGTCTGCTCCGTTAGAATGAAGGACCCATGGAATAACATGATCCTACTCTTGCCTCTACAAGAGTTCATGTCCTTGACCTTTGTTTAAGGAAAGCATTGTGCCTTTGCTCCATGTTCCAACTTCTATGTTGGATCCCTTCATGTGGCTTGGGTACTTCGCCAAGTTACACCCAAGTTGCTCCGCTCCTCGTTTTTGCATTGAGTCGATGGTGGCCCTCACACCCACCATTCCACGGGTCATCCCTCCCTTAAGTCCAATCTCCATATCGACTCCAAGTGTGCCTTCATTTGAGTTGTTTTGGGTCGCTCCCCCACTTGATCTCGCAATGCATCCACCAATGCATTCTCTCGAGCGAGATCATGCAACGACTCCTCGCCGCTTGCTCAGTCCATTGAGCTTCGTGGAGTTGTTGTTTGTTGAGGTACTCCTCCTCAACATGTAAGGTCCGTCCCACATGATTCTCCCTCTGGAGAGCCGGGACTTATCTCTCCTGGATAACTATCCCGTTAGAGCAACATCTCTCTTCATTTCGGAGACCACCATCCCCTTGGACTACTCCGATCTGCTGAACAAACTATGCATTATTCTGCCTCCTGCAAACGCACTTGCTAGATTATGACTCCACGTCAATATAGCCCCCGCTGCACCACTCAAGGCCTAGCAACATGCTGAACTCGTTGCACCCTTCAGCCTCCTATGGACGTATCCTTCACATGCCGAAGAGAAAGTTTCAATGCTCCATGGCGCCGAGTTTCGGTCGCCTTGGGATGGCCGCGAACATTCCATCGTCCGCATATAAGCCTATGCATGAGTACCAAATTCTTTGAGTTAGCAATTCCCCTCACCTCTGTGAGCTTTACATAACTCTTTCGGTCGCTGAATAACACATTCCACCTTGCATGGTCTCATCCTTTACCAAGCATCTCGTTTGTCTTGAGCACCATCAAGTATAGTTGTCAACGTTGAGCCGTAGCTCAAACTCAGTCATCCCAACCTTTGTGCGCTCCGTATTCTTCTAAGCTTGCTTGTTCTCGTGGTGCCTCTTGCGCGAAGGGTTGGCCATTCCTCTGAATGCCAATGTCAGATGCCCGCTCCTCCGAGCGACTCCTTTTCCCTACATCTCCATGCTCGTTTTCCCCCAAACGGTCGCGCGTGTGCTGACTGCCCTCAACGCAGCCCCGCTAGATCCCCCATGTTTGCATGCTAAGTGTTTCTATGAGTGCTTGTCTCGCTCTGATACCATCTGTCACGGACTTAGCTGGTTTTATCTAAGTCGTGCGGCACCCTTATATGTCCGTCCGCAAAGGTCAGCGTCCTCGAAGCCTCCCATGTCCTTTAGGACCCACAAAAGAGAGAATGGGTTAGAGAAAATGCCTCATTCGAGATCCATAAGCAAACATCTCCGAAAACACTTCATAGACAATGCAAATAACAAACAAACTTTACAAGCTCTGAACAGTTGCACAACAAAGGGTCAAAATGGTCCATTATAGATTGAAAATCTCTCACACGTGTCCTCATGATACAACCTTTATTTACAAGCCTAAAGTGATCACCAACCTAACTAAAATGAGACTATTAAGCCTTCGGTCGTCCCTCTACATGTTGTACAAAGCATGAACATACCAAAAGACACGGATATACATAAGCATTACATCAAACATCCTATTTAGAAGTTTGTTCGTGACATCCTGGGACCACCGCATGGGTGTGGTGCTGTCGCTGTGGCACACACGTAGCCTAGTGCAGCAGAATTTGCTGGTTGTACGCAGCAAGGTCGACGATGACCATTACTAGTTTACGATCGTTGGAGAATAGGGATCATGCATTGTAAACAAAAATAATTGATCTAATATGTTTGATCTCAAGAACTTAGCCTCTGATACCAATTGTTAGCATAAAATCTATAATATACCGATTGAAAAGATATCTCTATTTGATCTACAAGGGCACCATCTTTAAATCCAAGATCGTTATCAATATTTAAAGAGAAAGTAGATCCTTCTCCTCTCTTTTTATCCTTTCACACTCCTCTTCTTTAGTCCCTAGAGGTCCTATCTACTTATAGGCGAGAGCAAAAAGTCTAGAATAAGTAATTAGGAGAATTTCTCCCATCAAGATTATCTTCTAAGGAATCATACTTTAAGTGGACTTTTTTTCTATTGACTAATATATGTCATCAAAATCTAATTAATTATATTTTATATATCTTATCCAATAAATAAACCGAATCTATCAAATAAAATCAAATCATGCAAAACGTTTGAGCTACTCATTTATTACAGAGGGATTAGAGTTGTCGCATAGACAGGAAAAGAGTACCTATCAGTCATTTCACCTATCCCGCGGTATTTTATTTATCAAGGCAGGCTTTTAACTTGGGTTCATTCATCTCCAGCCCTGTAAAATTAGAGTTCAAGAATCTCAATTACCCAAGCAAGCAAACAAAATTTCTATTTAGTTCTAGCATTATGCAATGAGACTATTAGTTGGCAAAATGATCTTGGTTTCTTTGAATATTTTATGCAACAGCAATACAAGGCCTAAACTCTCTCTCTCTCTCTCTCTCTCTCTCTCTCTCTCTCTTTGCCTACCCGACTTTGAATATTTTTTGGCTTTTTTTCTCTTACAAGCTATCGAGTCAAAGAACATCAACAAGTGTTGATAGAAAATTAACCTCCAAATATTTTTATTAGTCAACTATGGCCCAACAAAGAAAACGGTGTTAACCTGACATAATCCTTCCCAAGTCGATGGAGCACCTATAAATTATCCACATTCCTCTTTCTCGCATAGTGTGTGAAAGATATAATCTTCATATTTACTTCCAGACCAAGCATTGTTTTACATCACATCGAAAATAAGAGCGAGCTGCACAAGTGCTCATCACCTTACACAAGAAACACCCATGTTCCAAATCCCGCACCAGATTGACTAAACCCAGTCATTTTCCATCACGTCCACACCCACAACAATCTACTCGCAATGATATCAATCGAGCTTCGGATTCCACATATTTATTATTGCCTTTAAATAATAATTAGCACCACTATGGATGAAAGAAACGATGATGGTGAGGCGGTGATCGTCATCGTCTACGTTGAATATTATTTAGAGACTTGACTTCGCTCAAGTCTTTCAGATATTCTAATAACATACGTATGCATTCTTCCTTCTGCGTCTTTCGGATATGCTACTACGCGGTAGGGTACCAACTCCTTGTAATGTTTGTTTATACGATGGAAACAGCCATGGCAATGCTTTCTTTATAAGTAGAAACCCTCAGTTGGGTCTTCTGCAATCATCAGCAGCGGCATGGCGTTGCAGACGCCCAAAAAGCTGCTTCAGCTGAAGCTCCTGGTCCACCAGAATTCCGGCCAAGTCCTCTACGCCGAGGCCGGCAAGGACTTCGTCGACTTCCTCTTCGGGTTGCTCGGCGTGCCTCTCGGCCACGCCGCCCGCCTGCTCACGGAGGACCACATGGCCGGCTGCCTCCCCACGCTCTGCAAGAGCTTCCACGAGCTCGAGGACGGCTACTTCGTGCACCCCGCCGACGACCGCGACGCCGTCTTCGTCCCCGACGCCTCCTCGCCCGCCTTCGACATCCTGCGCAGCAGCAGCCCCTCCCCGCCCCAGACCGCCAAGATCTACTACCGCTGCTCCGGCGCGGACACCAGCCACTACTACTTCGACAACTACAACAGCTGCTACGGGAACTACGGCCACGTGACCGACGTCTACGGGACGCCATGTCCGTCGTGCGAGAAGGAGATGACGACCGAGATGAGGTTCGTGCCGGGCAGGAGGGACGTGAAGGGCAAGCAGGTGGCGGCCATGGAAGCTGCGGGTGGGGGTTACGTCAAGGGGGTGCTCACGTACATGGTGATGGACAACTTGGCCGTCATGCCCATGTCCACCATCTCCGCCGTCACTCTCCTCAACAGGTTCCACGTTACGGACCTCAAGTCCCTGAGCGAGTGGAAGGTAGAGGTGGGGAAGAACGAGGTAAACAATCCATCGATCCATCATTTGCTCCGCCATGCTATACGTACTGATCTCTCACACACCAATCACTTACTACATGCTGATCCCGACATGGATAGGGTTCGGAGCTGCTGAAGGCGTCGTTGCGGTCGAAGACTGTTCTCACGGATGTGTTTGTGAGGAAATGGAAGAGAGGGGTTTTGGTGGAGTGAAACAACAGAAGCTTGCATGCAGCTCAAAGACTGTTCCCAACAAAAGCATATTTTTAGATCTCTCACACACCAATCACATATTTTTAGTTCTATATGTATGTAATTAGATATATATATATATATATATATATATATATATATATATATATATTACTGGAAAAAAATTTCCTTTTTTGAATAGATTCTAGGATTGATCATAACTTAATTATATTTGAGTATAACTTGGTAAACTTTCTGCAAACCAACTCAAAATCTAAGGTTATAATAGCTGTTTGTTGAGGTAGATCATTTCCTTTGCTAAGCCATAAACCATGATTTGATCTTGGGAGTCATTTTTACACAAATGATATCAATGAACATTCATAATACTCATCCTTACATTTTTCTCAAAGATTTAAATCCTATTATTGAGAAAACTTAAAAAAAAAACGATCATGAGAATATAAGGAATTTTCTAAAGCAAATATCAAAGAATCTACGATACATAAGAAGGTGCTTATACATGTAATGTATGCTTACATTCTATCGTCATATTACTGTATCAGAAACATCATGTTGTTATCTGTTGACAAGAATGGAAGCCTAAATTAGAGAGCTTGACAACAGTAAAAAAAAGAAGATGCACAGAAACATGATGTGTGTTTGACGAGGTGGTGGATAATATTTGGCTCGTCCTATCAACATCTCCAGAAGGAAAAAGAAAAAAGAAGAGAAGAGGATGCACATGATGTGTTTTTTTGTCGACGTTGTGGATAATATTTGGCTCGTACTATCAACATCTTAATAATAAAACATCTTTACCTTTTAAATTTATTGAGATTGTCAAGTATTTTAATCGATCGGGATAAAAAATTCTATACAACAAATAATTTTTCGTGTGGAAAAAAATCTTAATAATTATAGTTTAATTTTTCTATAAATATCTCATATATTTCTAAGTGTTGACTGGGGAGAATTTATTTGACATTATGAAGAATTTAATAAGTAGAATTTATTGAGCTACGTTAATCTTATATCAACTTTTTAATATATCATTTAATTGTTTATTTTTGTGATTTGTTTTAGTTTTGAAAATCTACTCTTCCCTCTCATTTAATAGAGAGCGATTGTTGAGATTAACAAGTACTTGAAATTCTTGGAGTGAATATCTTAGTGTGATAAGAAATTTTAGTAAAAAAATGAGTTCTCTTTTATTATGATTTGATTTTTCTATATAGATCTCATGTATATTTGGGATCTTAGCGAGGAAAAAGCAAAATATGAGAAATATTTTTTTATGTTTCTAAGTTTCTCTCTAGGGTGTCTAGAGAAGATACTCTATAGGATTTCTATAAAACATGAGAGAAAAAGATATAAATTCTTTTAAATTTATGTAAAATGATCTAAAAATCATACTTAAGTGAAAATATCTTTTATGTAAATAAGATTTATCAAACTATGTTAATATTCTATCGACTTTCTAGCATTATGCAATGGACTCTTAGTTAGCAAAATGATCTTGATTTCTATGCAAATTGAACGCAACAGAAGGCCTAAACTCTCTCTCTCTCT